TGCTAATTAGCCTTTAATTTAAACATATTATTATAATCACGAGATATATATATATATATATATATATATATATCTGTGTGTGTGTGTGTGTGTATAAATACATCTTTGCTAGGGTTTCGCATGACGATTTCCTTCATCTCTGCTAGGGTTTCGCATGGCGATTTCCGTCGTTTATGATTCAATCGCGCTCGAAGGAAAAGGTCTCGCATCTCATCGCCTTGGTTTCGACCTTCACCTACTGCATTTCGTCATCTCTCCGCTTTCGTTGCTTCGCGCCCGCACCTTCGTCTGTTTCGACATCGAGCTTCTTCGGCTCGCGTCTTCGTGTCTCCTTTCTCTGTGCGTCTTTTCTCGGCTCGCGTCTTCGTCAGTTTCGATGTCGAGCTTCTGTCGGCTTGCCTCTTCTGTTACATTCGCCTACTGCGCTTACGGAGTGTCATAGCAGGTTGGACTCTCTCCCTGCTTTGATGGGTGCACTTTCTCTTTCGGTTGAACCTGACAAAGCCTCTTTCGCTCACGTGGTGGGTAATTATCTAGTGGAGTCGGCTGTTGTCTTCTCCTCAAGCTATAAGGAATGTCGTGATGATATATGTAATTACTCTTTTGTTAAGAAGACAAATAGGAAATGTGGCAAAACAACACATTTTTTTACTGATTTAGAAATTTTAACCTTGACTGAGAAATGCAAGTTCGCTCTTATTGGAAAATTTCAGTAGGGGCACCCACCTATGGAAGTTATCAGAAAAAATTTTGATGATCTCGAACTAGTAGACATGTGAAAAATGACTCTTTGATTGAAGACGTGTTGATTCAGTTAACCATGACTGAAGACTACACTCGGATTTTCTCTAAAAAATATTTTAACATTGCAAGAAAGTCAATGTAGTTACTTTAGTGGTCTCCTGTTTTTTACCCAAACTATGAACCTCCCACTGTACCAGTATGGTTTAGTTTAGTTGGTTTTAAGATGCATTTTTTTAATCATCAGACATTTTACTCAATTGAGACCATACTTGGGGAGCCTATGAAACTAGATCTACCCACCTCAATCTAATCAGGTCTTCTGTTGTCAGAATACTTGTGCAAATGTATATTACTTTACCTGATATTACATAAGTCTGGCTGGACAGAACACATAATGAATATTGGCAACAAATTGTTATGGAACATAGACTTTTTTATTGTACTCACTGTAAGATGTTTGGGCATACCCTTGACAAATGTCAGATGCTCCATCCTAACTTGAAATCTACAGCTCAAGTGTATATGGATGGGTCTAACTCCACTGCTTTGGACACATCTGCCCCACCTGTGGAGGAAATTACCACATGAAAGGAATTTGTGTCTGATTTAATTGCCTCTGAGGGACCCCCCGACAATACTGTTTTTGTTTTTGCGATTGATGTGTTGCCGGATTTTTGTTTTTGTTTTTTCTGATTTAACCTGCGCCTTCAAACCTTATTGAAAACACTACTGAAGGATTCTTACCTATAATGGATATTGTTCGGACCGATAATTAGGAGAGTCCTGCAGTTCATCTTCAGGAAGTATCTGGTGCAGAGACGATAATTCATACTTTACATGCACTATAACCTATTGTGGTTACAACGGTTGACAATCTTTCTACTGCGGTTCTACCACCTCATCCGAACGAGCAAGTCGTTACTGTTAGTCAGACACAAGGGATTCATCAGCTTATACATGCCCGACAATCTGTTGACGAACATACTGATCAGATGAGCCAGTCTTTGAACGAAGAATGACAGATTTACAAATCCATGAGGAAGAAGAAGAATGAAGACCTAATTGAGCTCAGAAATCTAATTGATGATACATTGGTTACTTCGGGTAATGACATGCAACTCACCAATTTGTTAGCTGACTCCCTTTCAAGAACTAGAGCCAGAGACGGAACTAAAGTGGGCCGTCCCTAACTTTTGTGCGTTTTGTGGTTTTGGTTTTTGGTCTTACATGTATCTTTACTTTTTTGTTCGTGTTGTATCGTGTGAGTAGGGTGTCTTTTTGGGTCCACTCATACAACATATAATTAAAGTATTAAGTTTCCAATAATTACTTGATGAAATCCTAATTAAACTCAATAACTAAACTTTTCCTTTCTGAAATTTGTGTGGGTCAATCTTCCTCTTTAGCTCGCACACTTCACCTCCATCAATTCCCCCCAAATCTGATATTATAGACTTTGAATTTTAATTCAATAAATTTATTATTAACATAATTTACATGCTCACATAATATATATATATATATATGTACTGATCGATGTCATCTTCCACGTTCAGCTCTGCTAGGGTTTCGACCCATGTCAAACCCTAGTAACCCTTACCGCAAGATCTTTTCTTCGGCAACAAAGCCGACATCGCCGTCCCTCTCCGTCGTCGTCGTCTCTCCTCTCGCGTCTCGACATCTCTGTTCGAAGTTGACTGCGGCTCGCGTTGTCGTCTCTCCGACAGAGTTTGCAGCTCGCATCTCGTCGTTCTGTATCTCACGGAAGACGGGAAGGGTCGTAGCGCCAGCATCGTCGCCTTCCGCCATAGGGTTCGCGGCTGCCTGCGTTTGCTGTGCCGATCGACAGCTTGCTGAAGAAATGACTTCTGGACGTTCCTACGCTGCCGCCATCGCCAGTGATAACCTCATCTCCGTCCCTCTTTGAATATGTTTCCGCAACGATACCACAACAATTTTGCTCTTGGCATTGAAGCCGAATTTCTCGAAAAAGCTTCCCGTAAAAACGACAAACCTGGAATCTTTCTCGCTGAGGCAGAGATCTCCACCCTTGCTGTGCCCTGTCGACTGTTCTTAGTAGGTAATTTTCTTTATGACAACCCTAAACTTGAGCTAATTCGAAAATACTTTGAGCAAATGAAGCTGAAAAGAGGTGGGAAGATCGGTAAATTGGATGGTCGCCACATTCTTATTCAATTATCAAATGACGACGACTACACCCATTTGTTTGCGAGAAGTGCGAGAAGAGTTCTTCAAGTTCTTCAAATAGAAAATCAGGTGATGAAGTTTTTAAAATGGACGGTGGATTTTGACCCTCTTACTGAACCTCCTATCATTCTTGTTTGGCCGCACTTCCCATGTTTGAAGATCCTCCTTTTTGATCAAGAGCTTCTCTTCGTTTTAGCGATGGTATACGGTAAACCCCTCAAAGCTGACACACCTACAGTGAATCTGACTCGGCCTTTAGAAGCCAGAATTTTGATAGAAAGGGTTATTATTTTACCTTTTCCGGGAGAAATATGGGTTGACACATAACATCAGAGATTTTGACAGCAAGCAGAACTTGAACATATACCACTTTATTGTACCCACTGCCGTATGTTTGGACATTCTCCTTCTCAATGTTATCAGTTGCATTCGAATTTAAAACTTTCAAGTAAAAACGCTTCTGGATCTGCCCCACCTCATACCTGTCCCTCCGCTTCTGAGTGCATTCCACGGACTATTGAAACACCTATTGACGCGATGCCACCTCTCCCTTCCACTACCAGAGAAAATATTGTCTCTATTCTTCGGACTGATATATTGACAGATGGTTTACTTGGGTCCTATAATCAGGATAGTATTGAAGCTCCATATCCCCAGGATGCATTAGGTGTTGAAGAGACATGCTTACCATCTCTTCAGAATCAGAATGTTGTTACTGCTAGTCTGGAGCTGGGGGCTCATTCTCTCCTACATGCCCAACAATCTGTTGACCACACCGATCAGATGAGTTAGTCCTTAGATGAGGAATGACAGGTATACACATCTAGAGAGAAAAAGAAGAATGGAGGCACACCCCAGCTTGGGAACTTAATAGATGATACTCTAGTAATTTCAGGTAATAGAACGATACTCAGCAATTTGTTAGTTATCTTCGCTCCTAGAACCAGAGGAAGAGGCAAGACCAAGCTAGCTCGCGCCTAGCAGCTTATTTCCTGCAAGTATTTTTTTTTTTTAATCTATGTTTCATTCTTTTAGGATGCTAGTGTCTGATATATAGTATGGGTAGGACACTTTTTTTTTTTATCCTCTCATACAACCTCTATGTATATTTTCAATGTTAATAAAATTAGCCCTATATATATATA